TCACTCACACACACACACACACACACACACACACACACACAGTAAACCTGTGATAAACTACAGCTGTGGAGTGTGTAATGATTTTTATGCACACACATGTTCCTGTCGCAGTCGTGGCTGTTCATGAATCTGTTATTTTTTATTGATTATGATTTGCGCTCACACTGTCTGCGCAGAAGAGATCTGATCAGCAAGACAAAACAGTAAAAAGCACATTTTGGCTTTTTAATTTATGGTGAAATGGTGAAAAAAAATTGGCAAAACACTTGGGGAAAAAAACTCGAAAAACCGTATTCGGCCTTCGGCCCAGTGTTTAATTTTGTTCGGTTTCGGCTTCGGCCAAGAATTTTCATTTCGGTGCATCCCTAAAGCAAACTAATGAGCTGCTCATGGCTTCTGTGGAGATCAGTTGGCATTCAGATGTGGCTTTATTTCATGACGCACCTCACTGTAGGCTCTTTAAAAAGTCTGAAATCACATGATCAAAATTAAGCCCATAAAAAAATCTTAAATAGTCTCAATTTTAATTTTAAGAGGTGGTAAATTTGGGGTTAGAAAAACAGTTGCCCCAATACAGATATATGATTATTAAACTTTAAAGGGTTATGATTGAATGAAATAAATGTGAGCGTGGCTCATTTCAAAGTTAAAGCGCGGCGCTGTTGCGTGTTCAACAGGATCACGGTTTCAGAGTGAACACCACACATTTATGCCTAATGATTGCTAATGACGCACACTATGTGCATGTTATGGTGTTTATTATAATATGTTGTAGATGGTTGCAAGATGCAGATTTTATGTCTCTGCTAAATAGCAAAGCATTGACATTTCAGAATAAGAGTCCCTGTGTACTTAATGCTTGTTTATGATTAAAAATCCCTCGTTATGCATAAACTATTTTATTATTGGTATTTTGGTCACACAGTAAACACTATCTGGCATTTAAATTAATGTAATCACTTGTATTTTCTCTCTGAACCGCCGTGTCACAGGAAAGAAAGACTAAGAACATTTTTAACACATTCCATATATAGATTTTATTAGTATAGCCACAATAATCTTCTTATTGCCTTTCTTTAAACGCATTATAGTATCAGCTCAATCCAGTTCCGGTGAACCTCTGTGTGTGTTGATATGTGAGAGCATGTTTCAGTTCATGTGTAAATATTGAATAAAACATTTCTTAATTTAGCAGATGCTTTTATCCAAAGCGACTTACAAATGAAGACAATGGAAGCAATCAGAATCAACAAAAGAGCAATGATATGCAAGTGCTATAACAAGTCTCAGTTAGCTTAACGCAGTACACGTAGCAAGTGTTTTTTTTTAATCATATAATAAATAAGAAAATAAATAGAGTGCAAGTCTAAAAGGAGCAAGTTTTCTTTTTTTAAAGAATAGAATTAGAATAGAGAGTGCTAGAGTTGGAAGAGATGTGTTTTAGCCGATTCTTGAAGAATCTATACTTTTACATTTGCACTTACCCTGTTTTGCGGTTATTTTGAGATGATATGTGTTTGTTCTGTAACCGCATGCTGTATTTTATTTGTACAGGTCTTAAAAAGTCTTACATTTGATTTTAAAACCCTGAAAAGGCATCTGCTGAACTTCAGGTCACTTCCGTCGCTGCAGACCCGATATGTGTCGGGATCTGTTCAAGCGCAACTTTTACTGAAGTGCTTTCAGAGTCGCAGGAAGTAGAAAGTGCCGCTCTCATCTGTTCTTACAGATGTGTCTTCTGGTTCTGCTAATGTGAAGATTATTTTTGCGGCCCCATCAGCAGGTCCCATGGAGAGGAAGTCTCTGGTCTTGTATTGAGAAACAGCCGACACTTCTCTGTCACAAAATTAAACTCTCACTTCCTGTAACTGTGCGGTGCCTGCTTTTCTGACTCTGCAGCGGTCGAGAAGCGCCGAACAGAACGGCAAACCGTGTTTTTGTTAAACCACACTGACACATCATTGCGCTGAGTAACCTGATGCCACCTGAGCTCAGCGTTTTTATGTAAAACTGAGTTCACATTCAAAATCAGCAGACTCCGTATATATAGACACATATTGACAAATAAATATCATCTGATTTGATTTTCAAGCTGAAATTCTGAAATTCTGCCCATGAAGCATAAGGTTGGAGCACTCACTCACTGCACACTAAACACTGCATACTGCTTCAGAATTACAGCGAGTAAAACTTTACAGTGTGTGATGCAGTGTGCTCTGTTGAGTACTGCAGTAGTGTACACATGCTGTATACTGCAGAATGCTAGTATGCTAACCCTAGTGTCTTCTGGTTCTGCGTTTGTGTCTGTCTCTTCCAGTTATCTCACTGTGTTGTTGTTGTTGTTTCTAATGCTGCCTGTACTTTAGGATTGCTTGCTGCAGAAAGTAGGTATCCCACATAGCCTTTGCTTGCCATCCAAACAACATCTTCATCTTCATCTTTATCTTCATCATCTGTTGTCTTGCATGTTCTTCAGCACATCAGTCCATCAAGTGCTTCTTCGTTTTCCACTGAAACGTGACTCAAACAATCAGAAACCAGGATTCATCTCCTTTCCTGTGCTAATGTGAATGATGTCTGAGCTGTGTGAGGATCTGTGAGGTTCATCTCCATCTGTTGAGTTTTAGGAGGTTCTCAGGAGCTTCCATGATGCGTCTGATTCTTTATTCATGCACTGGTTTTTGGCAAAGAGCTGGTTTGCTGTCGCTGATGGTTGTGTGTTTGTGTGTTTAGGGGCCGTGTCTCAGGTTCTGGACAGTCTGGAGGAGATCCACGCGCTGACCGACTGCAGTGAGAAAGATCTGGACTTCCTGCACAGCGTCTTCCAGGACCAACATCTGCACACACTGCTGGATGTGAGTAAACACACACACTCACTCACTCACTCACTCACTCACTCACTCACTC